GTGGCCGCGCGCAAACCCGGTGCGGGGCCGGGGCCGGGGTGCCACGCAGGCCGGCCATCGGGTCCCCGTTGCGCCGCCCAGTGTCTGAGCGTCTGTCCGCGAGGGACTCGACCTCGCTGTGCCTCGGTTTCCTCGGCTGTAGAACGGTGATGAGCCGTCCGTTCCTCCTGGGGTCGTTGGCAGGTGTAAATGAGACAGAAGCGCAGGCCGCTCGGGACTGGGACATGCCCCCGAGGGTCGGGCTGGCCCCGGTCACCGCGGAAGCTTAGCCCACAGCCCCACAGCACGGTGTGTCGCTGGGCTTGTGGGTTCTGTGGGTTCTGTGGAGTCTGTGGGTTCTGTGGGTTCTGTGGAGTCTGTGGAGTCTGTGGGTTCTGTGGGTTCTGTGGAGTCTGTGGGTTCTGTGGGTTCTGTGGGTTCTGTGGGTTCTGTGGATCAGGAATTCAGACCACCCCGTGGGGAAGCCTGTCTCTGCTCCACCCTCCTGGGCCTCGCTGGAAGGCTCAGGACTTGAATCACCCAAATGCTGTGTTTTGTTTTCACGTGTTCTTGCAATGTGCTGAGTTTGGAATTGCTCCCCGTGGGGGCCGTTGCACCCACGAGGCGGTGTGGTCCTTTTGCCACACTTGGTCGTGTTTCAGGGTGGGACTTGCCATCAGGTTGACACCAACGCCCTCTCCATGCCTTCAATGTGCCTGTCGTGCGGGAATCACATACCAAAGATTATAACAGTGGTGTGTAGAGTTAGAGCGAGGGGCGGGCAAGTGTGTGAAGTTTAGAATAGGGACTCTGGGAAATTCATTTTAGGAATATTTTTTAATTTCGCTCCTTGGATTTTGACAAATTTCAAGTAGATGAAAAGCCTATAGCCGTATTTGGGCATATGAACTAGCACTATTATAAATAAATTGTAAAATTCACCTGTTTTATGTATATGCTTAAAGTGTTTACAGTCTGTATATGCAAAATACATAAATTCATTACTTACACATTTATAACACTAAAAGAAGTATATGGACAAAACTCTGTATTTAACAGTAGCCTAGAAAGATAAAAATATGGAAGAAAATTAGAGCAGACAGCTGAAGGTTACTTTTCCTTTTTTTTTTTTTTTTTTTTGAAGAGCTACAAATGGCAAGCATTGTTTTATTTTTTTACTACAGTCAATGCTGTACTTTAGATACCCAGAACTTATGGATCACATAAGTGGAAATGTGTACCATTAGAACTTGAAGGATCAGAGGACAGTTAGAAGGTTGCTAGCACAGCCCCTTTCTCTTCTGTCCCAATAACATCAAGTGCCAGTCCTCTGTGTTCATGCTGGCTCTTCAGCCCTCTAATGTGTTTCTTCTAAGCTGTTGAATTCTTTCAAAGGTCTAAACAGAAATATAAGACCATATGTTCCCCTCTGTTGTGGATTTAATTGTGTCACCCAAAATTCATATATTGAAGCCCAGTCCCCAGTATCTGAGAATGTGATCTTATTTGGAAATAGGGTCATTAGAGATGTGATTAGTTAAGATGAGGTCATACTGGAGCAGGGTGGGCCCCTAATCCAATATGACTGGTGTCTATACAAAAAGGGTAATTTGGACAGAGACACACACACACAGAGAATGCCATGAGAAAATGAAAGCAGAGATTGGGGTGATGCTTCTAGAGCCAAGGAGAGCAAAAGATTGGCAGCAAACCACCAAAAGCCCAGAGAAAGCAAAAGAACAGGCCCCCTTCCTTCATGGCCCTCCGAAGAAGCCAACCCTGCCAACACCTTGACCTCGGACTTCTAGCTTCCAGAACTGCTAGACAATATGTCTCTGTTGTTTATGCCATCAGCTTTGTGGTACTTTGTTATGGCAACCCTAGAAAATCAATACAACTTCCAGTCTTAGGATGGACATCAAAAAGGAGATTTGGCCAGACTCAAGCAGTATGGAAACTACACAGACACTTTTCCAGGTTACTCTTGATGTTTATAACCAAGGTGACTGGTAGTTGATCTAAGAACAACTTTTTTCTTCTCATCTGGGACCTTGAGAGTATCCTTCCTCCATTCCCTAGCATGGTCCCTCAAAGGAGAAGCATGCAGACTCCCCATGATGTAACACTAGGAGAAGAACATGTTTCTGCTTAGGGGCAGGGCCAAGCTGGAGTTGGCTCCTGATGACATCACATTGGCTACTTGAAATTAGATATGGAAATTGGCAAACAGATGTTACATGCCCCTTCGGGAGCTGGTTGTTAAGCTGGTTAGAGGACTGCTGGCTTCCCTTCCACTCTAGCAGCTGGATACCCATTTATTCTTCCCGCAATAAAAGGTCAGCTTTGCCTTCATGAGTCTGGAAATTCCCTTTGGAAAGAGGGAAAACACCTGAAACACTAAGGCTTTGTTTTTCCCAAAATGACAAGTTTCCCAAGACTCCAGAGGAACAACTTTTCTAAGTAATTCAAGTAAAAAGCCTCACACCTTAGGCAACTCAGCACTCCTGCATTCAACAAAGGGTCCCCAGAAATGCGATTATGAAATAGGAAACCAAGCCTTTGAAAGTGAACAGTATTCATTACAGTGGCTAAACACTGACACTAGGATGGGGCCTGCTGAGGAAACAATAAAGTGATGTTAACATTCAGCCTGCCTGAGACAGCAACGAGGACCCCTGGCATTCAAATGGCACAATGCCCTTCACAGAGGGGAGTCTACCACAGGATCCAGGGGGAGGTGGTGGTGGTGCAGCCCCATTTCAGTGCCCAGACCCTTAGGACTTTTTAGGGTGAAACTTTTACACGCAAACAGCTTGTTTCCTTATCACATTACTCATTGTGTGACTGGAAAGAAATGGTTAAACCTCCAAGCCCAGAACCAGTGACAGCAGGTACCCAGGGGAACAGTTGGCAGATGTCCCCCTTCCCCAGCAGACACAGATTTTCACTGAGAAGCATTTTTTGACACCTGAGGCCAAAAGAGAGTCGGGCAAGCAGATGACATGTGCCCTTGGTGAGAATTTACAATGCAGATGGCGCTCAATGCAGCACATCCCTGGGTGGCTCCTGTCATTTTCCACAGGCTTCTGAACTGTTCCACCACATCTCAAGTCTGAGCATTTCTCTCCCCTCCATCTGTAGCCTCCCCTGCTGCAACTCAAAAGGACTTTTCAAGTGTGACTGTTTTGCAAAGCATGCCAAGCACACCAAAACTTAAGAGAAAAATTGTTACCACTTATCTTCAGGTGACAGCATGTAAATATTTTAGAAAGTAAAGTGAGTATGATGAAAAATACATGATTTCTCATTTGACTTTCCCCCAGGCTGTGGGGATGATTCTTTTCTGGTTTCAAGGTGACATTTTTGAAGAGTATTGTAGAATTTTGTGAGTGATCATGTATTATACATTTCTTTATACATTTCCTCCCAGTTATTTCCGTTTTCTGGTTACTAGAAAGGAAAATCCACCTCTAAAATGTGGTCTCCACCTAAACAAAAGCAGATAATTGCCTTTTACACAAAAGAAATTCTCCCGCTTGCCTTTGAACTTTAGCATCCTGCAAATAGGTTTTGTTTGACCAACATAGTAATGATACAAAGGAAGAGGGAAAGGAGGTTACAAGACCTTTATCTGGAGTGTACTGTTTGCCACAGACCCCACCACTCCCAATTGTCACACATCTGCTTCATACAAAAGCATCACCTACCTGGCTCCTTAGGGATTTGAATTTGCATCTCCCAAGTTTGCTCAATAAATACTTGAGGAGGCAACAAAGAACAGATGAGAGGAAGGGAAGAGGAAAGCTTTTCCCCTTTATCTCAATCTTTTCCTCTTTAACTTCATAGTCTACATGTTGAATTTACAGTTAAAGCAATCTTCACATTATATATGGGAAGTAGGTGACAGTCAGAGGCTTCTGAATTATGAGATATTTAATAAGTAATTCCTGTCTTAGTTTGGGATCCCCCAGAAGCAGACCCTGAGGCAAGGACTGAGTTCAAGTAGTTAATTTGGGAAATCAAGGGCCCACCCTTGAATAGGGAGTTTGACAGGGAAGAAAAGGTCCAATAAAGGGTGCGTATTGAGCCAGCTACCACTGTCAGCAACTGGAGTGTAATCCCACTGGGACACTGGCAAACCATGGAAAACACACACTGAAGTTACCCCACCTGATCACAAGGAGCTGGGGTAAATGTCATTGTCGTAGTAAATGTCCCAGAGCTTTCAGCCCAGGAGCAAATGTGCAGAGCAGCCTTCAGCCTCTTGGGAGAAAGCCCTTAGACAAAGAGAGGCCTGTGCTGCCATTTGGAAATCCCCAGTACTCAGAATATATAAGGTCTAAGAGATACGGGTCGACACCCACCGCCATCTCTGCTACAATCTCCAGAGTGCAGTTGGAGTAAAACCTAATCTGAGACCTAGAGTCATTGCTCTCTGGGTATTAAAGGACCAGGCCATGTGTTTGCTGGTCAGAAAACGATGGAGCCCTTGCATAGAGACTGATGGAGCAACATAGGCCAGCCAGTATGAGACACTGCATCGTATATCGCTCTACCAACCAGAAGGAGAATTCAGGTAACACCAGAGGGCCTTGAAAGTGACAGCTGATTTATGAACTCTGTCCACACATTGAGGAAATGCAGCCACCCAGAGCAACCCTGGCGTGTCTTTGGCTGGCTCCAATGACTGCACCCCAACCTCTTATTAATCTCACTCAGGGTTGCTACCAGAGGGAACATCTTAGGAGTATTTAAGGACAAGGCTATAGAAAATCCTCTGAGGCACAGATGAAACCAAACACTGATTGTGTATTCCCTGGGAGCCTGCAAAGGGCACAAGCACAGATCATAGGGCTGGAATATACTAGAGAGGGGTCCCTTGCAAGAGACTGGGTCAAAAGCCAGCATCCAGAAAAGGGGGGCAGGTGGAGGGCTGCCTAGGGAGACGGTGATTAATCAGGAATGGGCCAGGCAAGGCCCTAGTGCCCCCTGCTGAAATTTAATCAGAGCCATGGGTCTGATGCGGTGGCAGCAGGTACCCGGGCCTCTGGCAGGGAATGAGTGCCTCCTGCCAAGGAGCCTCAGGAGTACACCATAAGCCGATTTATGCTCTAAAACCAAATGAAGTTTCACAACTGAGCAGAGGCTGCCGCAGGGAGGGCTGTTCAGTTCAGCCTCTGAATGGTTGTTCCCCCTACAATCCCTCCTTTCGCTTCCGATAAGAAATGGAAGAGAGGGCTGGTGGGTTTCAGGTGACAGCACCATCCTCAGCTGGACTTTCCCGGAGATTCTGACACCCTCACTCCAACAGTGCGAAACATTCCCTTGGGCACAAATGCCCCTGGTTGGAATACAGAGTAGCTAAATACTGTCAGTAGTGTCTGGGTGAAAAATTCTCATTTGGTGGAAGCTCTAGTGAGGCACGAATTCTGCTAAACAACAAAAGACTGACTCAAAAACACAATTCAAAATGGATTTGCACCACATACTTAATTTGATCTAATTGAACTTGCCATCTTCAAAAATAATAATAATAATGTATGTCAAAATACATCAATAAAAAAATATAGTCAGGGAAGTAGAAGGGGAGCAAGCAATTCCAATGTCAACAGTGCAGACCGGTCTGACCAGAAAAGGCAGGAGACCCCCCAGAAGACAGCCCACCCTCAGAGGCCCAGCTCCCACCCGCAATGCAGGCTCCTAAGCCATCTCCTCCGAATTTAACCTCTGGGCGACCTCCCATGCCTCACTCTTCTTTACCACTTGTTCCCTGGGTAAAATTCCTTCTGTTGAGCTGCCCAGTACGGCAATGTTTGCCGGACTGAATCTTGAGTGATACAGTATATTTATTAGGATGGTGTTAAGTTATAAGTTAACTTGAGGAAAGTTGACATCACTGTGCAGCTGTCTTTCTATCCAGGAACATGAGGTATTGATGTGTCTTTCCAACGGGTCAAGTGATCTGTCCTTCCATGGAGTTTTTCTTTATATATATATATTTTTTTTTTAATTTTTTTTTTTTGAGAGAGAGAGAGAGAAACATCGATTTGCTGTTCCACTTATTTATGCATTCATTGATTGCTCCTTGTATGTGTCCTGACCGGAGACAGAGCCCACAACCTTGCTATATTAGGACGATGCTCTAACCAACTGAGCTACCCGACCAGGGCAGTCTTTCCATAGAGTTTCAAAGTCTGATTCAGTACTTAGCTGCTTTTTTTTTTCCAGTTCGTTGAGTTTCTTCCAAAGTATTTTATGCTTTGTGGAGCTAGTGTAAATGATGCTGCCACATAAGATCGCTGTGAGGATGCAATAGGTCAGTACATAAAGCACTTAGAGCGATCCCCGACGTACAGTGAGTGCCATAGACGTGCTTGCTATGACTGTCCTCCAACCGATTGTTACTTGAATTTGGGTCATAGTTGTTGTGTCTTGATTGCTGCCCAGTTCCTGTTCAGGTGAAGCCAGGGGGCAGAAATGGATCTTGGGGAATCATTTTAACAGTGTTGACCTAAAAAGAAAAGGCCAGAGTGAGAGGCAACAAGCAGAAACCCAACGTGTTGTGATTAGGAGGCAACAGCAAAGGATAGTTATGAAAGGGAAGAGCAACACGTACATCAATAGAAGGAAGGCAAGGCAGCAGAGTGATGCTAATTCTAAAGCATTCTTTTCATTTCCGGTCCACAGTCACAGTATCTGCTTTCTTTTCATTTATGCAAACAGTTGTTTGAAATACAGTGTTGCTTTAGGCCCAGTCAGAAGGTTCTTGAGCCCTGTGTTAACATCCTAAAGGCCTGAGGAGTGAGAGGGGCAAGGCCGATCTGGGATGGCCATTCTGACTCCATTGGAACCTGGCTCCGTGTATATTATTTTTACGACAGGAAAGTGCAGCATGCCCATAACAGACCCATCCCATAACCAGCTCTCAGTCTTCCTGTAGATGCCCTATCCCCACTCATCTACCCCAGAGCTAGGACTTTATCCTCACTGGCCTATCTTACCCTGGAACCAGGGGCTATTTGGTGCTAATACCCAGTCATTAGAAACAAGGATGTAATTATTATTGCCTTACGTGTTCTATCTTGCTTAGAAAATGAAGCTTAATATTCCTAGGAATCAAAGTAGTCTTGTGGGCAAATATCATACTCCAACACAATACAAATGACACGTGCTGCTTACGCTTCAGAAACAGGCTGACACTTGTTCTCTGTGTATCAGTGAGCTAGGCCGCATAACAAACTGCCCCAAAACTTAGTAGCTCAAAATTGCAACCATTTAAGTTTGCTTACAGTCTATAGGTTGGCTGGGTTGTTCTGAAGATCAGGGACAGATAACCTCAGCTAATTTCAGCTGGCCTCGCTCATGCATCTGTGGTCAGCTAGAGGGGGAGCTTCAGACTGGTCTAGAATGGCCTCCCTTGAAAGTCTGACTGTCAGCCGGGGCAGTGAATGTCACTGGGCTATATCTGACATCAACCACAGGTAACCTTGGATTTGTTCCCATGGTGCTAACAGAGTTCTGAGAGAGAGAAGTGTACAGGGCTTCTTGAGACTTATGCTCAGAGCTACACAGCATCACTTTCCACCACAGTCTGTTAGCCAAAGCAAGACAAGAGGCCCAGCAGAATCAAGAGTGGGAAATGGGCCCCTCCTCTTGGTAGGCGGGACTGCAAAGTCATAAAGGGCCATGAAGACAGGGAACCCTGAAAAATTAGTCACCATCAACCTACCACTCTCCCTCCACCAGGGCGAGAACACTTTTAGCATTGATTTCCTTCCAGCAAAGGTTGCTTCATCTCACTGACAGTCAGCCTGTGAACTGGTTCAAGGGAAAGACCCATTTACCCTGGTTTGCACATGTGTCGCCTTCAGAGGGGGCCATTTCTTAACATTGAACCCACCTCAGAGCCTGTTTGAGAGTGTGATCTCCTGCACCAGCTCTGAGGATGATCCATTTCCCTCTCCGCCCTGGTTTTGGAGAGCAGTGGCTTGTTTTGGTGGAGTTTTTCCAGTAAGATTTACCAAAGACTCTGAGGACAGTTGTCAGCTAGTGGTTGAATAAATCTTTGTTAACGCATCGACTCAATCAATCACAGGCTAATTAACTCCAAGTCTGTTGGAAAACATCGAAATGTCATTTCTCATGGTCAGGAAGGAGGCAGAGGGACCTTGGAGGTAGCTCAGTCATTCTCTTTCCTTCTGGTACCTCTGTCCTTAAACACCACTGAGTCAGGACCATGGATCCCTGGGGGCCACGCAGGAACAATCTTTCTCTGCCATAGCTTCTATCTGTCTTCTTGCCCCTAGAGGGTTATCTAGTGGCCCGGGCCAGGCTATGGAGAAGGGGGAGGCTGTACACCTGCTGCTCACCTCCCACATGGCATCACTGCCCTCCTCTCCTCCACCCAGCCCATGGGGGAAATAGAGTAGCCCCAGCTCTATCACACTGGATCCGAACACGGGGAGCCAGAAGGAATGGCAACTCCTGGGTGGTGAAAGTAGAGAAAGTACTCCTAGAAGACAAGAAATGGAAAAAGAAGTTCTGTTCAAACCCAAAAGCACAGCAAACTCTAGGTATTCATGACTGAGCTTGGCATTTGTGGCTAATTAGCATATGGTAATAACATTGTGCATATCATTATGTATTTAAAGTCATTTTTGCTCTGTTTTACTTGATCATATTAAACTTTCTTCCTATATTTGGTGTTTCCCTGTATAAGTAAAATATCATATAGTATCATGTTTAAAAAGTTCTAATATCCAACTGGGTAAAATATATATATACATGTCTATAGGCACATATATACATGTATATATACAGCTATACTATGAATACATATATACCTATATATGTTTGTATGTATGTGTATATTACATGTACATATGTGTGTGTACATATGTATATGTACACATACATATTATTTGTGTGTGTGTGTATATACATGTGCGATTTGTAATGTTGATACATTTTGGCATAAAATGTGTATTTTATACTCATAATATCTACATATATGTAAATTTTTATATAAAAGATATGTAACTATATATAAAATAAGAGATAAATATTTGTCTGTCTTAGATAGCTAAGTATAAATATATACCCATACTTACATTTTTGCTAAAAAATGGCTGAAAGGATGCATGAGAATTAGATAATAATGGTTACACCTGGGGTGTTTGTTTTTTCCTTTCCATATACTTTGACTTTTTTAATTAGTTCATTTGTAAATGTTACAGAAATTCTTCCAGTTTTCTCTCATCGCCTTATTTCCAGCTTAAATTGTAAATTCAGATGCCTTTATGTACTGAATCCTTACTGGAAAAAAAATACTCTTGGCATCTCACTAGGGGATAGTGGTTTTCATGGGCAGACAGAACCGAATCCAGCCGTTTGGTTGAACCGCTTACGAAGCCCAAGACCAGTCCCTCTCAGACGGGGAACCCCCAGCACCTGGCAGGACCCCCTCGCAGCCCCTGGTGCCCGCAGGCCTGGGAGTTGGCAGCATCTCTCCCTTGCTCCCCCAGGGCCGAGGCGGCAAAGGCAGCATCTATGTGTGGGCCTCCGGGGACGGCGGCAGCTACGACGACTGCAACTGCGACGGCTATGCCTCGAGCATGTGGACCATCTCCATCAACTCGGCCATCAACGACGGCAGGACGGCCTTGTACGACGAGAGCTGCTCCTCCACCTTGGCCTCCACCTTCAGCAACGGGAGGAAGAGGAACCCCGAGGCTGGAGTGGTGAGTGCGGCCACTGGCCCTCTGTGACGTCATGAGCGGACATGTGACGTCCTGGGAGGAAAGGGAGCTACCCACTTCCCTGAAAAGTCAGCCCATTCTCCTCCAGGCCTGGTGACACTTCATCATACAATAGAGACACATGTGAGGTGTGCAAAGTGAAAGCAAGGACGTGATGACCCCCTTCAGCTCATTTTCCACAGATTGTCTTTCTTGAAGTTTATTGTTTTGATTTGCAAATAATGACAAAGTCTGGTTTATCAGAAAGTTGCCCCGGCAGGTCACTTATAAGGAGAACGAATATAAAAAACTGGGGCACTGCATCACCACCCCATCTGAGCCAAGAACCTATCCATGCATTACAGGAATTAAAAAATAGCGTCCATGGATGGAATTTTCTGGGTCTATAAACCTCCCCAAATTGGATACACACGTATATTTTCTCAGGGAAAGAGTAGTGGTTTCCATCATAGTTTAATATAGGTCAGTGACTGAGAAAACAAAATATCAAGAATCACAGACTTAGATTTTTTTAAATATTTTTATTGATATTTAGAGAGAGAAGAAGGGAGAGGGAGATAGGGAAACATCAATTGGTGCTCTACACTCCCTATCAGGGATCAAGCCCACAAGCCAGACATGTGCCCTACCAGGAATGGAACCAACAACCTTTCCGTGCATGGGACAACGCCCAACCAACAGAGCCACACCGGCCAGGGCCAGACTTAGATTATTTATTGCACTTTTCTGAGCAGCTCTTCCTTCCTGGGCAACTCGGTATAATGGTGAGTTTTCCAAGTCCCTTGGAAATAAGTATCTGTAGAGTGTAATGAACCTTTTGGGATCTATCTCTTCCTCTCTGGGAATGTCACTCACAGCTCAGCCTTTGCTCAGACCTCCAAGCCAAGGATTTAGTAGGTAGTTCAGTAGACCTGCCGAGTTTCTTACACCCTGACTGGCCACCACCTCAGCTGGGGCTTTCCAGGGGAGGAGGGCAGGAACTCGGAACCCAGTCACTATTGCCACCCAGGGCATCTGCTCCAAGTTCCCACCTGGGCTCCCCCTTGGCGAGCTGGCCAGGCTCTCCCGTGAGCCAAGAGAGCGCTTCGCTGCAGGAGGCACGGGCCCTGGCCTGGCTCTCTCCATGAGCCCTCCCGGGCTCCCACTTGGTCTTGGCGAGGACAGCGGATGTGCCAGCTCCTCCCGAGTGGAGTGGGCTTCAGCCTCTCCTGTCCTGTGAGACACGGGCCAAAGGGGAGGAGAGCAGAGCAGAAAGGGACAAGTGAGGGAGGCCCAGTCCTGTTTTGTTTGTAGGGCTTCTCTCATCCCCCAGAAGTTCTGCTTCCTGCCCTAAGGGCCTGCCGATGGTGTCACTTTGTCCCCAACCTTATCTATGACTCTCTTTTTACTAGAGCTGGGGAAGGGCCTTGTGTTCCCTCTGAATACTGTAATTTTTTCCCCGTAAGTGCCTTTAAACCTCCCTGATACTTTATTCCTCAAAATAATAGGCCCACTTGAGCATCCTACAGGCAAACAGGAAGGAGGAGAATTCCTGTGGTTTATTCGTGGTTTTAATGAAAACCTGGCCCTCCCAAACTTTGAATGTGAGGTTTTTCTCTTTGTGAAAGTTCTTTGGAACTCAGTATCATTAAGATCTCCCCCTTGCCCCGCCGGGCGTGGCTCAGCAGTTGAGCGTCGACCTGGAATCCAGGCCATCAGGGTTCGATTCCCGGTCAGGGTGCATGCCCGGGTTGTGGGTTTGATCAGTGACTCTCTCATCATTGATGTTTCTGTCTCTCTCTCTCCCTCTCCTTTCCTCTCTCTGAAATCAATAAAGATATATTTTTTTAAAAAGATCTCCCCCTTAAGAAGAGTTGTGCAGCTGATCACTCACATGTCAGTTATTTTGGCTCAACATGTCTCAGAATCTCTCCAGGAATTTCAGTTGTAAGGAAACATTTTCTTTGTAATGGCCTGTCCTTTTAGGCAATCTTTAGCTGAGCCCTTTCATTCTTCCTTCTTAGGGACAGGGCCTGAAAGGGGGATGAGTATGGGGGAAAAGGAGGACATCTGTAATATTTTCAACAATAAAGATAAATTTTAAAAAAAGAAAAAGAAATTTTAATGCAATAGTCCTTGGGCTTTCTGAAAGCAGACCCCAAGGCAACAAAACCCTGGACTTGTGACTCTCCATCTATCGTTTCCCATTTTAGGATCCAGAAAATGTCTCCCTAGACTCTGGAATAGCTGCAGATGATGCTTCTCTGAACAACTGGCTTGCCTTTATCTTATGGGCACTGTAACTATAATTGATTGTGTGTCCCTTTTTGCGTAGGCTACAAGGAAACTCAGATAAAATATATGGTTAAAATAGATATATGGGTGCTAAGTTTATCCTTACCTTTATCTTAATCTTCTTCAGAACAAGGCAGAGTTTAAATTTTAAAAAATAGATAATTCTCTGCTCCATATTGTTTTGGGGTTCAAAATAGTGTGACTCATTGCTCAATATCTTCCCTTTCAGGCAACCACAGATTTGTACGGCAACTGCACTCTGAGGCATTCTGGGACATCCGCAGCTGCTCCAGAGGCAGCTGGAGTGTTTGCTCTGGCTTTAGAGGCTAAGTATGTTTCCAGCTCAGGCTGAGGGCCCCGCTCTGCAGGGTGGACTAACATGTGTCTCTCCACCCAACACCAGGTGTCCATGGGGCAAAAGTGGATGCAAGAGCCTGTAAACAGTCAGGATCAGTGAACTCTGGTGGGCGTTTCTAAATTAACCATGAGCCCTAAGTCACACACACATACACACACACACCACAAAACTACAGTAGGCCCACTTGACAGTCCTACAGACAACAGAGGAAGAAGGAACAATCCTGTGGTTCCTTCATACATACATGGTTTTAATGAAAACCCAGCTCTCTTAAACATTGAAAGTGAGGTTTTTCTCTTTGTGAAAGTTCTTTGGAACTCAGTATCATTAAGATCTCCCCCTTAAGAAGAGTTATGCAGGTGATCACTCGCATATCAGTTATCTTGGCTCAACATGTCTCATAATCTCTCCATGAATTTCAGATGTAGGGAAACATTTTTTTAAATGGCCTGTCCTTTTAGGCAAGCTTTAGCTGAGCCCATTCAGCCTTCCCTCTTTGGGAATGCCTTTCCTTCCTGAACAGAAAAGAAATGTTGATGCAATAGCCCTTGGGAGAGTACATCCCTAGGAGAGTACACGACCCCACACCCAACCACACATACCAGCTACTTACTCAGATACCAGAGAGGGGCATGTAGATATTTTTTCTTCATAAAAACTTCTCTTTGTCCTCTGGATGATCCTTTGGCTATTTTACTGCAGTAATACTCACCACCAGCTAAATGAAAGAAAACCAGTGCCAAGCTGGGTATCTAGCAAGGTATTTCAGAGCATGTGTCAAACAGGGTGCTCCCACTCAAGATTTGTTAACTTATAAGATGAATTCACTTTTCACACTGAGACAAGGTGGGCAAAGTCCTGCAGTATTGACCAAGACATGGGTTTTATTGGGAAACCTTCCAAGCTACAGGGAAGAGGAGACCATCCTCTCTGTTCTCACCATTCCACAAAGAGGCCACATATCACTCTGCTGGGCACACTTTGGATATAAGTATCAGCTGAGATACTTGACAACCTGCTACTCTATATTCTCTTAGTGCAAGCAGAGGCTGGCCTTGTGTTTGAGCGATGGACATGTGGGCTTCAGGCACCATGCACTGGGTGTGCATGCAAAAGCCCACCGTGCAGGGAGTTGTGTGAGAAGTTGGATTCAGACTCCTGGGGAAGCAGAGTTGAGTCCCTACCTCTCACCCCTCACCTGTTGCTAGGCAACTGGAGGTTTGAGCATCAGTTTTGAGGCAGCCCTGCTTGTCTCTCTCCACAGTTGCATTGTTTGACTTGCAAAAGAGGCAAGAGTTGATTCCTAGAATAGGAAGGGACTTCGAAAGATTATCTAGTCCAACCCTCCGCCTTCAAGCAGAAAAGGCATAATCATCTTTTTATAGCTAAGGCCCCAAATTGGAAGTGACTCCTCTCTTTGGAACAAGCCAAACTTTAATTCTTCTAACAAAAGTCAGGTGGAAATTTTAGGACACCAAGAGATGGACACTGGTCAAAGGGTTCCTATTAAGCACAGAGACCAAACCTTACTCACAGATTATGTGCATTTCCTGAAGATGAAGCTGTTCATCTCAGAGCTTGTTGGGTCCTGGAGCCTGAGCTGGCTTCAGTCACTCCAGCTGGGAGCAGACAAGCAGGGGAGCCTACTGCCTGCCACTGAGCCTGGCAAGGAACAGGGACTGGAGTGCTCCAAAAGCAAAAAGGGGTTCCTGGTCTCCTTTTAAATCTAAGAGAGCAGAAGTTGACTCAAAGTATCCTTGGATTTGGGCAACCAAAAACCACTTGCCCAGGCCTATATGCATGCAAAGGGACAATAATCCAAGTGATGGAGCAAGGCCACTGGATCTCTAGACAGATTCATGGGCTCTCTTAACACACACTTGTAGATGTCCTTGCAGAAGAGAGAGCAGTCACCACATAAGCACACTTTCTTTTAGAGCAATGGCTATGAATTTAATGCTCTCTATTGCCACGAAGCAGAGAAGACTGACAACTGGCAGTAGGTGGCTCAAGCCCATCATGGGAGCCAGTCCTAAAATCCCTCAGAATACCAACTGCCTGAGTTGGAAACACACACCGAGATGGATTTCCTGCAAGTGGTTTCTTAAGGAAGAGACCAGAAGGAAGTAAAGGAAGCAGGCTAGGGACAGGAGAAGCCAAGTAGCTATGAAATTTCAGATGTCCTGGCCTCAGCCTGATCCCATGGGGAGCTCTGAAGTATAAATTGTTATGCCTCAGAGTTTGCTCTTCCTCAAGGCAAGGGAGCTGGGCTGCCATATTTTTGTGCTAAGAGCCATGCCTGGGGACGTACACTCCAGGCACCTCTGGCTTTCTGCACCTGTGAGCAAAGGGGCTCCAGTAGCCAGCAGTTAAAACCACACTGGTCAGCATGAAATAACCCCAGGAGATCCCAGAGGGATGAGAAGGGGAAGAATCTCCAGGAATAGTTCCTAAGCTCTGCTCTGTCCTGAGACAAGGCAACTGGGAGTCCTCAGTGATGCATGTGACAGCAGTCAGGGCTCTTTCCCTCCCAAAGGCCCAGTAAAAAACTTTTACAAAGCAATGTGCATGCAGTAAACAAATTATCCTGTCTCAATGTATGCCCATCAGGACTATGAAAGAGGAAGAGCAACCACCCCCATTGCTCCAGGGGAGAAAGGAAACCCTCCCTCTGTCCTGCCAAGTCACCACTGTTTTTCAATCTCATAAAGTGCTTTTCTGCCAAATGCTTGGAAATGGCTTCCTGAGTCACAAAGAATATTGTTCACATGTCCCATTGTGACCAATATTAGAGAAATTTCAAACAATTTCTTTAGTGGGTGCCTGGTTGGGGGGAGGGGTAGCTGCCACCTTCAAATATTGGGGCTTCTCTCCATGACCTGGGGCTTTCTGTGTTGTTCTAGAGGGATGTGCTAGGTTTGAGGGGCAGATGTCACAAAGAGGCAAATTTTTGGCTCAAACGAATCATCCATAGTAAAGTGGCCCACATATTGGACTAGAACCGTATTTTCAAAACTGACCTTCCAGGGGATGGATTTTTACATGTAAACTCTTTATCAAAGTATAATAGACACTGAGAAAAGTGTACAAATATTAGGTATAACTCAATGGCTTCTTATGAGGCTAACACACCCATGAAACCAGCACCCAAATCAAGAAGCAGACTGTTACCTAAGTCCCAGTCTGTGCTCTGTTACTCTGAAAGTCTGAGAGATTCCTCCATGCTATTGTGCGTGGTTATAGGTCATTTATACTCATTGTAGAATATTATTCCATTATAAATGGATACTTGGGTTGTTTCCACTTTGGGGCTATTAGGAGTAATATTGCTATGAACAGCCTTGTACATGTCTTTTGGTGAAGCTATGGACACATTTCTGTTGGGTGTTTATTAGGGAGTCAAAATGCTGAGTCGGGTATACATATGTGCAGCTCTAGAGATACTGCCAAGTAGCTTTCCAAAGTGGGTGTACCCATTGACACTTCCTCCAGCAGTGTATGAGTTAGAATTGTTCCACATCCCTGCCAACATTTGGTATTGTCAGTCTTCTACACTTTAGCCATGTTTATGGATATACAGTGGAATTTCATTGTAGTTTTAATTTGCATTTCCCTGATAACTAGTGATGTTGAACTAGACTAGGGGGAGTTTTGAAAATGATAGATTTCCAACTCTCCGCCAAGAATCACTAAATACACATCCCTAGGGATGAATGACCTAGGAATTTGTCTTTTCAACCCCACTCCAGGGGCACATGAGCAGTCAGCCCATTGCTGGTCTGTGGACTGCGGTGTGTGGCTCCCAGTAAGGCAGTGGCTCTATGAACCTATGAATCAGGGTGCTGCTGTGCAGGATGTGACTATCTAGACTCCGCCTCTGATTAGGTGCTGGTATTAGATCAAGATTGAAAACAGGAAATTCTAATAATAATAGCTAAACCAAAAAGAGTTTATTTTTCTGTCTTGTGAAAGATAACACAGAGGTAAGGAGTCCGGGTCTAGAATGGGGGTGTCACCCGGATCAGGAAATCCAGCTTTTTCCGGATTTCTCCTCTTCTACCTTCATGTTCTCTAGATGCTGCTGGAGCTCCAGTCATTGTGTTTACATTTCAGGCAGAAAAAGGAGAAGTGCAAAGGGGGGGAAAAGAAATCCACCAGCAGATTCAGCCCCATTTAAAGGTTTTCCCAAAAAGCTGCTCCCTGTGGCTTCTGCTTATTTCTCATTGGCCGGAATTGTCATATGACCACCCCAGGCTGCAAGGGAGGCTGGGAAATGTAGTTTTGTAGCTTATAACATTGCTATTCTGAATAAAATTGAGGTTTTCTTAATAAAGAAGTAGAATAGATATGATAGAATTGCTAGTGTCTTTCAGCAACTAAGTGGGCAATCACTTAGTTGAATCTCTATTGTCTTATCTGAAAAATAGGAAGTTTGGTCATCAGTAGGCCTCCTATGACTTCCTGGTGTACTGTAGGTATGCCTCAATAGGCATGTAGGCATGTAGATACCATGCCTGTAGGAAAGTGCATGTTTTAATTGGGTATGTGTTTATTTGAGGGTTGAATATGCCTTAAAGCTGGAAAACTTTTGTTTACTTTTAAATATTGTGACCAATACTTTATGCGGAAAATAGTGTCTATTCTCTTCTAACTTACACTGATGCTCAATATATGAGATACATTTTATTATTAATAATAATAATAAACTCTTTATTGAGTGTTCAGTGCCATGCTAGTTACTTTCACATGGTGATCTACATTTACACCCTACCACAAACCTCGAAGGCCTTATCCCTGTTTTATAGATGGGAACCCGGAGCCTCAGATTGTTAAAGTAGCTTATCTAAATTCACATGATTGGAAAATAGCAGGCTTGAAATTTAAATCCTAGGGATCCTGGGCTCCAACTTTGGGGTCTTCCCTTGGCCCAACGATGGGATTTGGAAGAGCTACCATCTGAGTCTCACCACTCATTCTGCCCAAGGCAATAGGCTAAAGGATGAATTGACTCTTCCTCAAAAGCTGTGCACAAAATCAGGTTTTGGTTTCTTCAAGGTGAGGTTTTACATATCACAACTACACAAGGGCAGCTCAGTCTTATCATTTTAGCCATTCCAATAGGTATGTTAGAATGCACATTTGAAATGGATTTAAGTAAGAAAGGCAAGTTTTTTTAATTGACATGTATAAAATGGTTCAAAATAGTGCATGGAAATTCTCCCTTGACTTGGGGTTCATAGATGTTCCAAAATCTTACAAGGAGTTCCTGTCCTATCGTAGTCATTGTGTCTCTCACCCTCTCCTTTTCTCTTGTTCTCGAACTCTCTCTGCCTCCGCTATTCAGTCTGGGTCTCACCTGGAGAGACATGCAGCATCTGACTGTGCTCACCTCCAAACGAAACCAGCTTCATGACGAGGTCCATCAGTGGCGGCGGAATGGGGTCGGCCTGGAGTTCAATCACCTCTTTGGCTATGGGGTCCTTGACGCAGGCGCCATGGTGAAAATGGCTAAAGACTGGAAGACGGTGCCGGAAAGATTCCACTGTGTGGGTGGCTCTGTGCAGGACCCTGAGTAAGTGGGGACAGTGGCTCTTCTGCTGCATGTGGAAATGCCCCAGAGATGGTGCATGGCATTGGCAACAATATCAGATTCCCTCTCATGTCTGGGAGATGTGCAGGATTTGATTCAGGGACAACCAGAGTGTAACCAGCTTCCAGATCAGTAAACACAACACAACCAATATCCCAGAAAACCCCGTGTCCCCTGCCACCATCATCTCCCCACTATTCCAACTTCATAGATTGTTTTGCTTATTTTATACTTAATATAAGAGGAAATCATACACTGTGTTCTCCTTTGTATCTAGATTGTTTTGCTCAGAATTACATTTCGAGATTCAAGCATATTTAGTGTGTACTTGTAGTTCACTTATTCTTATTGCTGACTAGTGTCCCTCTGTGTGACTGTAACACAATTAATTTATTCATTCTACTTGTGGAACAAGATACGGACTTGATTTGATTCCAAGTGAGGTGGACCTGCCTGCTTGTGTGTAGCAACTCGGTGGTAGAATGTGGCATTTCACTCATACCTAAGGCTCTGGACATTCCAGAAGCCTCCATCAAGGTGACCAGAAAACCTGCATAACAGGATCCATAGTTTCCCCAGCTGCTTTTCCTGGAGCCTGTGAGCCACAGCAAAAACGGAATGTGCTTTAAACAGAAGCCCCAGAGATTTTCTGGTGGTGGCACTGTTATCAAGTTTAAATTGGACATACACAAACCATTTAGGTCTGAAGGAACTAGCTACATGTGGCTATCTAGTAAATTAAATAAGTTTAAATTAAAGACTAAAATTAAATTAAATTAGTTAAAAATTCAGTTCCTTACTCACACTAGTTCCATTTCAAGTGCTCAACAGCCACTTGGGGCCAGGGGCTACTGTATTGAACAGGACAGATACAGAACATTTCCATCATTGCAGAAAGTACTATTGGCCAGTGCTAGTCTAGGCATTTATAAATACACGACACACCTGAGTGTGTGTATATATTTTATCTTCATAGCAGCTCTTCAAGGTAGGAAGTAATATCCCCATTGTACAGGTAAGGAAAATAAGCTCAGACAGTTCCGATGGCTTGCCCACAACTAGGCCTTTAGTCCACCCCTCATAGCTTTCTGCCTGCAGGCTGGTGCCCCAGTGATCATTAGTCGTTTATCAGCTCACCTGTTATGTGTCTGACATAACAGGTTCTGAGTGCAGAGCATCTTTTTTGAGAGATCCAGGTAATGGTTATCCATACTCTGACCTCCAAAGCTGGCCTAGTGCCTGCTCTCTGCCAAACTGAATGATTTCCCCAGAGTCTGGTGCTTGGGACGCCACCTCCACTATTATCACTGGATCTGCAAGGCCAATTCCCTTTCACTAGGACTAATTAACCCAATTTCAGCCTTTTTAAATGATAATAACACATTAGCAATAACTTTTATTTATCAAGGAACTTATCTCTTTAAAAGAAAAGCATTAAGTTCCTGTCTCAGCCTGGGTTGTTCCAAAAGTAGACCCTGAGATGAGACTCAGGGGCTAACAATTTTTTGAGAGATGATCCCAGGAAACACAAGTGGGGAAATGGAGATGTGAGACGAAGGAAAGAATAAAAGCCAATAGAGTACATTGGTGAGCAACTAGCTGCCCACTGTGGGCAGCTAGACTCAGTCCCACTGGGGACACTGGCTTTTCCCACTGAAGGATGGAGAAGCTAGGGCATATTTATTCGCCACCTTCTGTCAGTCGTTGGTAGAGGATTGTCCCTGGGGAGTTAAATCCCTGACACTTTTGGGCTGCCCTGCACACAGGCTGAGCAAACTCCCACAGAACAGGGAAAAGCTCCAGGAGAGAAGCCGGGAGATGCTGACACTTGAGGTGCAAAGCAGTCAGGGTACATGGGAGCCACAGTGGCAGGGGAACTCAGAGGTGACTTAGGAGAAATGGGAGGGGCATCAACAGCATCTCCTATATTCCCCTTCCCCCAGGAGGTTTNGGGAACTCAGAGGTGACTTAGGAGAAATGGGAGGGGCATCAACAGCATCTGCTACATTCCCCTTCCCCCAGGAGGTTCGGAGGGTACAGGTAACTTGCTCATGCTGGGGCGGGAATCAACCTTGAAGCCCTTGCTCTTTCTGCAACCTGAAGCCGACTCCAGAAACCCCTCACGCATTGTGCCCGTCCCTTACCACATCTCCTCACCGCTTTGCCCGCAGGAAGATACCACCCACTGGCAAGTTGGTGCTGACCCTCACCACCGATGCATGTGAAGGGAAGGAAAATTTCGTCCGCTACCTCGAGCACGTCCAAGCTGTCATCACAGTCAACGCAAGCAGGAGAGGAGACCTGAACATCAACATGACTTCCCCTATGGGCACCAAGTCCATTTTGCTGAGCCGGCGGCCGAGGGATGATGACTCCAAGGTGGGCTTTGACAAGTGGCCTTTCATGACCACCCACACTTGGGGGGAAGACGCCCGAGGAACCTGGACCCTGGAGCTGGGGTTTGTGGGGAACTCCCCCCAGAAGGGGGTGTTGAAGGAGTGGACACTGATGCTGCATGGCACACAGAGCGCTCCTTACATTGACCAGGTGGTGAGGGATTACCAGTCCAAGCTGGCCATGTCCAAGAAGGAGGAGCTGGAGGAGGAGCTGGATGAAGCCGTGGAGAGAAGTCTGAAGAGCATCCTGCACAAAAACTAGTGCTGCGCTCTGGCTCCAGCGCACCCCCACCTCCCTGTCCTCGCTCCACACTCCGTCAGGCACCTAGCGATTGTCACCCCCACACAAGCGAGTCCAACTTCTTGATCTGAAGCTTCGCTCACTGTCAGTGATTATTTTCATTACAATGGAATCGATCTTTTTTATTCTATGCCCCCAATACAGTGTTCCCACCAATACTATGTTCTGTTTGTGACTTGGGTTCTTTATTTGTGTCAGTCAAATAGGTGATACCCTGCAAACAAAACTCGGACAACTTTCCCCTCAATTTTTTTCATACTGAAAAGAGAAGGCATTTAAAAAGCTCCACACAGTTACTCCAAGAACATTTATTCATGGTCTCAGCCAACCTGTTACATAAAAAGAAAATCAAAGATTATGACCAAGGGTGAGCTCTGAATCTCTTAAAGCACAGGGGAAAGATGTTTTGAACTTAGCAAGATTTTTCAGTGGCATGATTCGAAAGATGCCATCCATGAGAGCCCTAATAACTGGAGGGAGACAAATCAAAAAGCATGGGCGTTGGAAATCTTACCATCAAAGCCAACATCCTACTACTCAGCCAGCATGACAAATATAAAACCTATGTAGCTTGGCTGTCCTTTCACCAGCTACTGCTCTGAGTTACGGTAAAATATCCTCGAGAAGCCCAAATTACTCTCAGTTTGAATAGAGGTCATCTCAGCCCCAATTTTCTGGGGTTTCTCACATAGCTTTCCAATGGGAGAAATGCAAGGCAGGCCTGGCAACACATCGTAGTAGTTCTCAACCCAGGAACATCCCTTTTCCTAAGTCATTTTGGGACTTCTTAATCTGACACAAGCAGGAGGCCAACTGAGTATTTTTGACAGCTTTCCACATATGGACTTGGGCTTTGATTTCCAAAACGTATGATTGGAGGGCAGCATCTTATGCCATGATTCCTTTGATGTGTTAAAAAGGCATCGGCCTGTTCAGGCGCAGCTGTGCGGAGCGGGAAGGGGGCATGTGTGGCACTGTGAGCAGCCGTCTTCCCGGGGACCCTCATTTGTATGGAGCCTTTTCTGCCAAAGTGGGGAATGCCAACTCACCCCCGACCCCCGGAACTTGAGGCCTGAAGGAAGCAAGAGAAGCCTTCCATAGGGAAAGCACAGTGACCATCTTGGCAACTAAGCATCCACGATGGTGTTTAACGGGTCGTCTAAAGCTGGTACATTCCTTTCCCCTGCCACCCCCAAGACACCGCACCATGTCATTACCACCTAAAGATGCTTTCTGACCTGCTGACACTCTGTTTCCCGGCTCAAGGATGGGCGCCTCATCCCCAACCTCAATGCCCACCATTCCCAAGAAATGACTCATTCGTTTGACTTGATTCCCAAGAACTGAGCGACCACTCTGGCTACATCTCTCCCTGCCCTGGGAGCGCGGGGCTGAGCCTGGAGCTCCCTTCCTCACAGGCAGCACCGCCAGAGCACCGGTGTCCATCCCCTGAAGGCGGCGGCTTTAAGAGAGAAGTCTGGGAAACCCACGTTCTTTCTTTCCCCTCCTTGTTGGCATGAATTTCTGTCTTCTCTAACACCAGATGACCTTCTCTATATAATGCTTTAAAATGTAATAATATTTATGATTTTTAAAAGAAATTTATTACTTGTTGCGAAGGTCTTTTTAAACCAGTTTAGATTTTAAGAAAAAAAATAAATGGAAATCATCAAAAATTCATTTCACAACAGTCTGAAAATAAACCAAAGGACATTATGTGTGCATGTGTGTATAAGTGCACACAGAAATATATATACATATGTAGACTATATACATGTGTATATATGTGTATATATATATATATATACACTTATATAAATGTATATACACACATATACCTAAAATGTGTGTATGCATATTTATTGGAGAAACAGACACCATATTCATCTTTAAAAGAATATTCAGAGAATATCAAGATGATTTTGGCTGAAGAAAAAGCCAGTGGAAATTCAGGTGAAAATGTTCATTGATTCCCATTGCATCACCTCTGTAATTTTGCAGCTTTCTGTATAAACATTAAATGTCTTATATAGCAGCAAAAATATAAAAAATAGTTGTCCATATTTTCACAGTTGTGGTATAATTTATGAAATTAGAGAGTAACTTATCAGCTTCTTAATAGAAATGGCAAGTTTTGATATGAGTATACAGTATATAAAAATATATAGTGCTATATAAAAATATTTGGTCTCTATTTCATTTTTTTGCACCAGTATTAACACTAAAATATGTCTAGCTAGTGAGGTTTTTATGATATCCCTGATCCTAATGGAACAGACATTTATAATCACTTATTTTTTTTAAATGAAAATAATAATGATTAACATTGTTACTCCCCATTACAAAATTTTCTAAACAAATTTTAAAAGATATGAAAATTAGGATGTGATGTGATATGCATTACATGAAAACACTGCCATCCATTTTAGGAGCAGATAATAAAATGTTGCTAAAGAGAGATCTAAAAAAAGCCTGCTTTCATAGATACACATGAAAAATTTATAATTAGCAAATAAATCATATACCTACAGCAGCATTTTTAATACTCAGGTTGCATCCCAGTAGCTGTCTGTAAAATAAATTTAGGGAGGCAAGACCATCATTTTGGGATAGAATAGAATAGAATAGAATAGAATAGAATAGAATAGAATAGAATAGAATAGAATAGAATAGAATAGAATAGAATAGAATAGATAGAATAGAATAGATCATGCACATTAATGATAAGCATTGTTTTCTGTAATATTTTTTTCAGGGATGTGTGTGTGTGAAGTGGCTCACAATGTAAAATACATTTCTCATTGTAGGTCATGGGTCATGGACAAAATCTTTTAGAAACACTATTCTAGAACATATTCATCAGGCCAAACTAAGTTGTACTGTAGTAACAAGCAGCCCCAGAATCTCAGTGGTTTAACACAACAAAGCTTTATTTTTTATTCACACAAATCCCACTGAGGATTCGGGTGACTCTCCAGTGCCACAGACCTCCATGCAGTGACTCAGGGATTCAGGCTGCTTCAATCTTCAATCTTATGGTTTGCACCATAACACAATGTGGTTACAATCCATGCAGAAGATGACCTGTGGAGGACTCTTACCCACTTTATGTTCAGCCTGAAGGAGACACATGTCACTTGAGCTACAGAGCATCGGCCAGTACTGGTCAATAACCCTGCCTAAATGTAAGCAACTGGGACAACTAACAGAATGTTTGATGAGCATTTGAGACTCTCTCACAGAAAGCTTGAAGCACCCTTAAAATATCTTCCTAAGTACCGATTTACATGGCAACCATCGTTCTTTCTTAAGCTTTTAAGTCATAAATATTTTTAAAACTGTGCAGTGGAGTATGTTCTCCATTCATCTTTTAGAAAAAAACAACACAAAAGCACATTTCTTTCTTGAAATTGAAACCTCAAAAAAATTCAGAACAAGATTTGTTTAAAGCTCTAAATAGAAAAATGACTCCATTTAATATTCTTTCTATTATCCATAACAAAGGAATAAGAGAATGTAACTCATGACTCCAGCAGTCTTCCTCTAAGGATGTGGAGCTGTCTTGCCAGATGCTTTTGTTTAGGCAGATGCACTAACCCGTGTGAGCATGTTTACAGGTTTTTTGGAGCACCTCCACAGGGAAGGAGTACTTCCTTCATCAGTCTAAATAAAAAATTACTTTTGGACTGTTAGTGGAAAAATCGATGCCCAGGGGCAACAAAAATTTCTGTAAAAATTCTGGTTTAAAGTAATTTCTATTTCCTAGGATGTGGCACAGTAGGCACCTCTGTACACATGTGCATATGTGTGCATGTGTGCTCAAGGTAATGTGCGCACATGCATGTTACAGCTTCCTATACTACAATAATTATTTATAAATCTGCAAGCCTCCCCTTGTCAGCAGAGCACACTGTCTGGCACATAGTATATGCTCAATAAATGCTTTTGGACCAATTAAGTCCTAAACAAGGAACTGTGAGGTGACATTTGATTTTGATTTTTGAAATCCGACCTAGGATTGCAATCTCTGAATGAGAAAATTTGAAGTCAGACAAAAGGACATTTGGAACATATGCTATGGCAGATGGCATTGGTGTGCCACTTATATCCCCATGACCTTTGTCATTTCCATGTATTTCCATGTTAATGTCCCGGGAGCAGCCCTCCTCATGGACTGACAGGAGTTGGTGCATGCAAACCCCGCTCCCTCACCCCTCAGGCAAGATAACTCTGTGTCATATGTTCTGTCCCATCTCCCAGAGTCCCTTGGGGGGATTGAGCTCCAGCTGCCCACAGTGCTCACCGACTTGGTAGCACCCCTCTTACTGGCTGCCTTCTGTCCCCATCTGCCTCTCCACTGCCCTACTGGTGCTTCCTGAGATCATGTTCCTAAGAAACTACATTCAAAGCCTTGCTTCAGGATCAGCTTCTGGGGGAACCCAGACTAAGACAGGTACCTCTAATCATTTTACCTCTAACAAAACACTTCTCCAGTGAGCATGTGCTTGTGCTTGAAATGCAATGAAATTGAGCCAATGCCATCAACTAGCATTTTCTGTGTGAAATCCAGACACTCTAATGAGCTCAAAGAACCACGATGACGTGTGTGTCTCTTTCCTAAACGACCACGGTTTGGTGGCCATTTAACAGAGCTCCCTGCCCTGAGTGGATGATCCACCTACATTCCCAAGGCCCCTATTAATTAGACAAACAATGTGCAAGCAAAACAAACCTTTTTAATGAGGCCTCTTGGGCAATGCCAGGCAGGCCAACTATGAGCTAATCCAAATAGGAACCTTCACTCTTGATCATTTGTTCTACAGCATCAAAGGACCTCCCTGCAGTGCCCAGAGGCCTTTGTCCCGGAGCCTAGGCACAGTGAGAGCCCTCGGCTCCCAGTTTCCTGTTTGCCTTTGTCGTTCCAATCACAGTCTCCACAATGACAGCGGTTTCTTCATACGTCTGAACGCTCCCAGCTGTAAACTTCTCAATGGATTCCATCACTTCCACCTTCTCATATGCCAAAGTCCTGGGAGGGCTTCTCTCTTTGGGGCTGCTGCTGCTAGCTCCCTGCCCCTCAGATCTACCCTCCCTGGCCCCAGGCCTTTGGGGTGGGGGTGGGGATGGGGGCGGTCCCTCTGGACCAGGTGTGACCAGGAGACAGGGCCTCCTGGGCCCGTCGTCCCCCTTCTGGCCGGCATACTTCTCCCCGGGACCTTCCAGTTCTTCAGTGTTGACTTCATTCTCCGTGTCTGCAGCATGCTGGCCGGGTGGCTGTCCACCTGCTCTCCCCTGTGGACCCCCCTGTCCATTCCCCAGAGGGGTCCGGGGCTGCTCAGGAGAGGGCTCCACGGCACTGTCACCATGCGGGGAGTCGGCCTCTGTGGAAACCACCACTGTGCCCCTGGTCGGGGCAGGCAATGCGCGCAACCCAGGGTCCACGGGTCTGGCATCCCCGGAGACCAGCACGTGTCGCCCCTTGGGGTAGAGGTCAGCTGGGGGCTCGGGCTCCCCGGGGCTCCTCACTCTCTCCTTGACCATCTTGCAGAGTTTCCCTAAGGCTTTGCTTAGCTGCCCCCCATCTGGCACGTCCTCCGGAGCCCCTTCTGGGGTGGGGGGACTCCCCTCCTCACCCCCTGACTCAGGCGTAGGCTCCCCTTCTGTAACCACCACCCGCACGGGCTTGGTGTCTTCCGGGCCTTTCAGTGGCGTGTCTTCCAAGCTTGCACCTGCTTTGTCTTTCGCTATAATCTCCTTTTTCCTTGGAACGTTCTTAGGGAGGCCTTTTTGTCTGGGTTTTGCTGTTGTTATATCCTGCACAGCCCTGGCGAAATCTTAAAAATAAAAAAATAAAATTTAAAAAATTAATGGACTATAAATCAAATATAATTGTCAGTGAAAGAGGGAGAAAATGTATTCATTGAAAAGTACGCCACCTGTCTTAGAGACCAAAGCCTGGCACTGCGCTATTTATGGGGCAAAGCCACGGGGAAAGAGCTCTGGATCTGTAGCGTCCACGGCTCATGTGAAGGACCTATCTCTGCCACCAACTGTGCAACTTTGGCCAAGTCACCTGACCCCTCTGGGCTCGCAGAGGGGAGGGAAGATGCTGCTTATTCTGACTCTCAGGGTTCCCACCCCACTGGGTACGACTTACCGAGACGCACGATTCTACTACGGTAACACTTGCTGGGAGCAGCACCTCCTGCGCCCCCCAGACCCCTGCCGAGCTCACGAGGCTCCTTGGCTCCATAGCTGGAGGAAGGAAGTCCCCTCCACGTCATCCCCACCTCGGGCTCCCCAAGGAGAGGCGGCAGAGCCGCCTGGGCCTCTGGCCTGTGCAGGGCAGCGCCGGGCAGGGGAAGCGCAGGAACCCACAGGCTGCTCCCTTGTCCCACATGCGTCCCGAGCTAAACAAGCATGACCACCCCTTGATCTCACCCCTTCCTCCCGGGCGAAGGGGCAGCGACGCTGCTAAACCCAGACCTGACAGGAACCCTGTTCCCAAGGCTGTGTTTATTTCTTCAGGCTAGCGAAAGGAACAACTAGGAAGTTCAGAAAGCACACAGGAGAGAACCCTGCCTCATCCCTCAGGCTTTTCTGCTTCACTCGCCCGGGATTCTTTTGAGCTTTTTCATGCCTGAGGTCGTCTCCATCCCCTCCCTCTGTTAACCAGCGGGCTAAGGGAGGGCATCTAGCTGGCTCTCGGTGAGAGCGGGTGAGCAGGGAAGGGGCCGTGAAGCCACCAGGGAGCAGGGGAGGCAGAGAGGGGTCTGTCAAAGGAAGCCAGGGGGAGCAGGCATGAGGAAGGGGTGCTTGCAGGGCCAGCAACAGAGTGTCAGGGCAAAAGAAGGCAGGCTCCCTGTTCAAAATGAGTAAGACTCAAACACTGAGAGCAAAGCAGTAAGCCCAGTGTGGGGACCCTGGTGCATGGGCCACAGCCCTGGAGCTGGCCCTGGGCGCCTGGGACTGGAAACTGCGGCCCCTCCCCACAGTGCTCTGACCCCGGAGCTCCATGAAACCCCTCTGAGCTTCATGAGCCACGGGGACTTGAAGGCACTCCAGGTGTGGGAAACCACGTTACCATCGTCTCTTCTGCCAGAACACGGTGCATGTCTGTGTTTGTGGAGGGCTGGGGTGGTTTAGCCATGAGGTGACATCTCACAGGTGCAAGAAACATCCTCAAAGGACCAAATGTTGAGGGCAGAAGCCACACTTGCCAACCAAGCCCCTTCTGCTCAGTTGTGAACAGAAGAGCGAGCAATAATTGCACATGTGCTCTGCTCCAGACACTGATCAAGCACTTGTGTCTAGAATAGTTCATTTAATTGAGGGGGGGATGCAATTCAATATTGAATTGTAGTCCTCTCCCCTCCCCCATTAAATGCTTCCCATTTGGGGATGGCATTCCCCAGGTGGTCTGCCCCTAGTCTGATTTTTCTCCTGTAAACTTTTTAGTTCAGCCCCTTAACACCTGTGGGAGTACATCAGAGAGGGAGAGGAGGAAACCCCACCTAAAAGTGTTTAATTTCTGGATAGATTGGAAGGAAGCATGAATGGTAAGTTCAAGGATAAAGCCACTTAATTTTTTCAATTTTTTCCAGGGCAGAAAACAGTAGAAGTGAGGGCTGGGGAGCATTACCTTTCCCGCTGGGTTGAGGGCCGAGAGAGACTCCATGGCCCGCGATGAACAGAGTGACGGGCATTTCGATGAAGGCAGAGCTCAGCCTGGCAGAAAGAATCAGAAAGAGGTAGTCTCACCCTTGAATTCATCAGGCTAAACAGGTGGTCAGGGGGTAACAACGACCCTCTAATTAAGAGCAAAAATAACAAAAGCTTTCTCTACACCACACTTCTCATGAGCCACATATGATATACATGTAGATGATGTAGGTGTAGGTTTAAGTGTAGGTATACATGTAGAAATAGGCGGAGATGAGGTAGGTGTAGGTTTAAGTGTAGGTGTACATGTAGATATAGGTGACACGGGCACAGGCGGAGATGAGGTAGGTGTAGGCTTAAGTGTAGACAGATGATGTAGAGTAGAAGGTGTAGATGTAGGTCTAGGTAAAGGTATAGATGAGATAGAGAGATGACAGAGATAGAGAGAGAGATGACAGAGATAGAGAGNTAGAAGGTGTAGATGTAGGTCTAGGTAAAGGTATAGATGAGATAGAGAGATGACAGAGATAGAGAGACGATGATAGAGAGAGTGGGAGATTTATTTCCCAGCTTAAGGTGAGTAGAGTTCGAGTCACAGCTCCACTACGGACAAGACCAGGTAGCATGCTGACGGCCACCTTACAGACCCAACCAGGTGGCATAAACCATGCTGGCAGTAGCAGTAATAACACCAACAGCTCGGAGCACTGGTGGAGCACCAGGCGCTGTGCTAGGAACCTCACCTGAAGCATCTCTTTAAATACTCCGATCATCCCGCCTGCTAAGACGGTTATGTCCCCAGTGGCCTGTGGAGCAAATAGCAGCCTTCCCCATGGGCCCTTTCTGACTGCCCAACTCAAAATTTCAAACATTCCCACCATCACCCCATCTCCAGTGCCCCCTTCCCTGCTATAACGTCCTCCAGAGCACTTGCCATACGTCACACTCCCTCTGTTACAAACTCATTCATCATCCGTCGCCCCCATCTGTATTCGAGGCCCATGGGGTCGTGGATTTTGTGATTCACTCCCTGCCACCTCCCCACTGCCTAGAACTGGCACCCAGGAGGCACTCAACAAGGATTTGGGGGACAAGTAAGTGAGCAGCATAGAGAGAGGCACCCTCTGGGCTGTGCCCGGCTGTGACCACACCTGTGGCCTTCGTCCTCAATGATCCGATGATACCGGTCCAGCTCGGTCTTCAGGGCTTGCTGGGCGGCCACCAGCTGCCGGCAGTCACAGGAAGACTTCTCCAGGCTCCTGTCGGTCTCCTCTATCTCCTTCCGCAGGGTTTCTATCTGCTCGTTATAGAGCTGAATCTCGTCATCGTGACACTCATGGGCATCTCTAATGGCCTGTTCCAGCGTCGCTGTCTGTGGGCAAAGACCCAGTTGTAAGGAAACCCATCCCATCCTCTCCCTTGACAGGGAAAATCTGGACTCGGCGTTGCCAAGTTCTGTTTTGTTCCTTTCTTGTCAGCAATGGAATCACTTTGGAACCCTTAAGCCACAGAGGAGAGAGAAAACTGAGCTCGCCCTCCTCACACCTGCACCAGCACCCACTGAACTCAGCCCTCAGTGGAGCCCCCAAAGGCAGCCCGAGGATGACCACCTTAGAAAACAAGAAGACTGCTGTCCATGGAATAAAATGTACAATTCAAATAAAGTATATTCTTCATACTTTAACAAGTTGGCATAAATCTGACAGCCAAAAAAAATAAGTCAAAAGAAGAACATGTACTAAACAGATAAGATGTAATTTTACTGAAATAATTCGGGGGGGAAGCATTTCCTTGCTCTTATTTAATCACTATGGTGCTATAATTTTCTCCTGATTATATATTTTGGTAGCCAAAATGTATGTGTGTGTATGTGGGTGTGTTTTTGCAAGTGTGTGCACACTTGTGTATAACTTCAGGGAAACACTATTTACATATTAATTCAAGGGAAGTCAAAATTAAGGTGCAGGGCACTGTCCAGCACCAGCCTGGCTGTTGGGGGATGAGACGAGGACCCTCCTTTTGGAGCCTACAGTCCAGTGGGGAAGGCAGCTCAGTCACAGACATGCCCGGGGCATCACGGAGCACAGAGGGCCTGTGGCGCTGAAGGATGTCAGAGGGGCTTCCAGGAGGCCGTGGGACAGGTCCTGGGTACTGACGAGAAAAAGGGACTTCCAGAAAGAGGAGACGTGATGAGCAAAGGGGCAGGTGCCAGGAACTGCAGGAGGAGTCAGAGAGGAAGGGAAGAGACAGCCGCCCGCAACCAGTCCAGGGCTTCTTGGAGAAGCAGCCAAGTGGATACAAGAGAGAGGCAAGCGGAAGGGGTGGGCCACATGGCAACGTGAACTTCATCCTGGGCTCGGCAGCAAAGGCCGAATGAGAGGAAGTGTTCAGCACAGCTACGGGCCTTGCCTCTGCACAGCAGGGGTTGACAGGGACCCAGGACAGCGCCTCACAGTGAGTCCTATTTGAAGGGGTGACCTCCTGCGTCAGTCCTCTTAGGCCCCCAGACTCTTTTGGGTCCAAGGTCTTTTTTAAAAAGGAAACAGGTCCTGGCCAGGTGGCTCAGTTGGTTGGTGCACTGTCCTGTGCACCAAAGGGTTTCGGGTTCGATTCCCAGTTGGGGCGTGTGCAGAAGGCAACCAATCGATGTTTCTCTCGCTCTTCCTTCCTCTCTCTGTTTCTTCCTCTCTCTAAAACCAATAAAATCAGGTCCTGGAGTAAGGATTTAAAAAAGGAAACGGAAGAAATCAAGTGTCTTTCGCGGATTATGCAATCTTACCCAAGCCTGCCGCTAGGTGGTGCTAAGCAACCTCAATGAGAATATCATGACAGCTGGTAGGTTCGTGACAGTTCTCACTTTCCTGTCCCAGAAATTCTCAGTCAGTGCAATTCAGGCAACCAGAAGTGCCTGTCCTCTCTCCCCCGCCTATTAGAAGTGCCATACCCACAGAGATGGGTGCTGTGTCTCTCATCCTGGAGATTAGTGTTCTCATGGGCGGCTGAATGTCCAACAGGAAGCCAGAGACAAGAGGATGCAGGGCCTACCTGGGCCTGCAGCTCGGCTCTCTGTGCCTGCAGGAGAGACAGGACCTCCCGGCCCTCCTCCAGCTGACCCTGAAGGGCGGCCACCTCACGTTCTGTCAGGAGCTTCTCCTGCACAAAGAAGGCCAGACTCAGCACTCACACACACTTGACGTACGAGGAAACCAAAAAGGAAAGGGGCAAGGAAGGTGTGGGACCCTGTTATGGTCTGCATGTTTATGTCCCCCACTACAGATTCATATGCTGAAGCCCTAACCCCCAGTGGGGTGGTATCTGGAGGTGGGACCTTTGGGAAGTAATTAGGTTTAGATGAGGGTGGGTCATGAGGGTGGGGACCCCAGGATGGAATTAGTGTCTTTATAAGGAGAGACACCAGAGCTCTCCCTCTCTCTGTGTTGCACCAAAGAAAGGCCACATGAGGACATGGCATCTGAAAGCCAGAAAGTGGGTTTGCACCAGGAACCAAATCTGCCAGCACCGTGATCTGGAACTTGAAGCCTCCAGAACTGTGAAAAGTACATGTCTGTTGTTTGAGTCGCCCAGTCTGTCTCCAGCATCTGAGCCACTAATGCTGTGAGTGCAAGTAAAGTACTAGGACAGTGTCAGGAGACCTGCATTGCAGAGCTGGTTGTGCCAAGAACTGGTAAGAGATCCTGGACAAGGCACCTTCCCTTCTGTCAAAAGGACAACTTGGATATGGGCTCATTCTCTGTGTCTGTCCTCAGATGTCTAAAGGGTGGGGTCACAGTCTGAGTAGAAAAACAAGAGTAAACTTCAAATGTGACCGAAGTCGGAGTGGGGAGGAGGTGACCCATGCAGCTCTGAGCAGCCCGACCTGATGCCTTTCCCGGGTGTCTGCTGGCTGGGCCCAGGTACTGCAAGCAAAACCTCCAGATGTGCTTCCCTGCAGCCCGGGCTCCAGCTCTTACCTCCCTCATCCCACCTGTAATGGCGGCTGCTTGAGGGGTGGTTTGGATGATCTGCTGCAGGAGGCTGACGTAGGTCTCAATTTCCTGAAGATTCTGTTGGAGGAAAGAGAGCATTCTCATTAAAACCTGAGCTGCCTGAGTTTCTCCCCCAGGACGAGGTGACCCCAGGGACGAATGCTTTCACATGTCCCACTGTCACAAATAGCATAGGCCGCAATCTGTGCAGCAGGCACTTGACTTCTTTAATCTTCACAAGATCCAAGGGGCAGATGGATAAACTGAGGCTAGTTTTCTTCATTTCCCTTCAGCTATGTGGATGCTTTCCTGCTGTCTTCACAGAGCCCTGCAGGCAGGGCGACGGGGAAAAGCAGAGCAGGAAGACAAAGAGGCCCCAGAGGGTACAAAGGGCCCCTTCTGACCCCAGAACAGGGCAGAGCTTCAGAGGACAGCATTTGGTCAGTCCGTCCCAGACTAAATCACTTGCTAGCTGCATGAGGCCTGGGGCAAGCTATTTACACTTCCTAAAACTCTGGCTCTTCCATAAAAGTGGGATCACAATCTGAAGAGCACCTGCCCCCACTCTGGCTCTGTGCCTGAGGGCTGATGACCGCATCTCGCAGCAGCCCCCTCCAGAGAACTGCCCTGGGCCAGACAATGGTTATCTTGTCCAGGAAGCTGCTCAACTCCTCCCAATCATGTCCCATCCCAACCCCGGCCAGTGACTAGCTGGTACAGGAGTGCCAAAGACCAATCCTCTTGCCTCAAGATGGGAACAACCTGGTGGTGGTGTGAGACTCATGATCCAGAGCCCCCAGCCCTGCAGTGGGATCAGGCTGAGGCTCCAACTGAGCCTGGGCCGTGGCCCAGTTCCTACCCCATGCTGTCCCACTCCTCTTCCTCCCTCTCCTTCTCCTGGGTGCTACCCACCCAAACAGCAACCACAGAAAATCACCACCTTAGGCTCTGCTGATGGGCAGCCTGATCTAAGACACTATCTCATGAGGCTGTTGTTGAGATCCAATGAGAGAATGCACAGAAGCACTCACTATTGTTATTGTGGTTGTTGTTGTTATTGTTTTATTATTATAAATGGCCCTGAAGAATCTTTTGAGCTGCTTAAAACCTGCCCACAGGCACTGCTCCCAGGGTTCCAGAAAAGTACAGCAGAGTCAGGAGGGCAGGACTGGAGGAGGAACCAGCCTGGCCTGATAGAAAGTTGGAGGAAGCCAAAGGGCGGGGAACATCCCTTCAGTGCAAAGCAACAGGACTGCCTTCGTGCTGAAGCAGGTTCACACCGAGGCAGAGAGAGAATCCAATGCTAGCTGAGCACTGGCCAAGGTCCAGGTGACAGTGGGTGCTTCACCCACACTATCCCGTAGCCTCAGTTTGGTAGCCCCAGAAGCAGACTCTTACGCATTGAATATTATGTCCCTCCCAAATTCACATGTTAAAGTCTTAACCCCCAGATAAATGGTATTTGGCCGNTATGTCCCTCCCAAATTCACGTTAAAGTCTTAACCCCCAGTAAGATGGTATTTGGCCATTGGGCTTTTGGGAAATAATTAGATTAAGATGTGGTCATAAGGGTGGGGCGCCATGATGGAATTAGTGCCCTTTTAAGAAGAGGCACCAGAGAGCTGGCTCTCTCTCTCTTTGCAAGTACATGTTCCTGGGAAGAGCAAGTGAGCACACAGGGAGAAGTCAGGAAGAGGGCCCTCACCAGAACCTGACCAGGCTGCTACCCTGATCTGGTGTTCCGACCTCCAGAACTGTGAGAAATAAATTTCTGTTGCTTATAAGCCACCCAATCTGTGGTATTTTGTTATAGCAGCTCAAGCTGACTAAGCACAGACCCTAAGAAAACAGTCTGAAAGCAAATAGTTTACTTGGGCAAAGATGCCAGGAAACATGAGTAGTGGAGCAAGGAGGCGAACTAGGGAGGGGAAGGCAGCCAAAACCGGGTGGGTTATCAGGTAAGTTACCACTGTAGGCACCGGGAGCTCAGGCCCAGTGAGGATCTCTGGGAGCTGGTGCAGAACAGCAGGTAAGAGGGAGCTGGGGGCCGTAACCAGCAACTCACATCCATCACCTACTAAGGCTTCTCCCAGGGGCATTAATCTCCCAAAACTTCCCATGAGGCGGAGCAGCTCTTGCTGCCTGTAGCAGAGGCAGGGCTGCAGATACTGGCAGTTAGAGGGAGGCCAGAGCTCACTGGAGAGGTCAGCTACACTAAGTCAACCACACAGCTATGCAGGAAAGAGAGTCTGTCATTTGCATTTGGGAGATAAAAAAGCTCAGAGAGGTTAGGCTACTCGCCCATGATCACACAGCTCCAGGATTTGATTCTTCCAGGACACCAAGGCCCCCCACAAAGCCAGGCCTGTAGAAAGCTGTTGGGTTGTGGGGCAAAGAGCACTGCATGAGAGGAGGCTCCTGAATGCCATGTATTCCCTCAGTTAACTGGCTCAGAGAAAGAGTTAAAATATATCTATTGCATTTTCTGCAGTTCTGCATTTCTGAGCTGAAACAATTGACAGGCTGCAGTTCAATCAAGACAGATCTATGTAAAATCACTCCGTGAACTGTAACACACTATATAAATATTAGTTCCCAACCACCCACCCAACACACACACACGCACACACACACACCTGTCTCCTCCTCTACACACGTCTAGCTCACTAAGAGCTGTCTAGCAACCAACCCATCGCCCACTTGATTCAGGAGCAATGCACACAAAAGTAACCTGCTCTGGCAGTTTCACTTTTCAGCCACGAGTGCCCTGACTGCCTGACCGAGCCCGAACTGGGTTTTCTGGGGGAAGAGCTGCGGAAGGGTCATGGTTACCTTTCTGTACCTGTCCTTTGCTGCACTGATATCGTCCTGCAGAAACTGGACTTCAATCTGAAGGTGCAGATTACACAGTAAGGCTTCATCAGCTTCCTGCAACGAGAGAGCGTCACACATCAGACTCTGCGGGGCGCACAGGGCAGGCATCCGAGATGGGTGTGAAACTGGTCTGAGGTCTGTCCCACAGACCACCCGCGGCCTTATTAAAATGCAGCTTGGCCCTGGCCAGTGTGGCTCAAAGGTTAGAGCATCGGCCCGTGCACCAAAGGGTCTCGGGTTCAATTCCCAGTCAAGGGCACATATCTCTAAGACAACATGCATTTTAGAATGATTGCTGTGGTGAACAGCATTTGTTCCTCTAAAGTTGGAGATGACATTTATGACAGAAGGCTGAATATTCTCACCAAACTTTTCAATAATTCACCAATTTTTCTCTCATTGATCTTGTTTGGATAAACCATATAGGTTGAAGAGTTGTTTGTGCTCTTAGTAAGATAGTTCTGTGATGGCTAGAATTGACTTAAATACTTCAGTAGTGCAGTGCAATGTTACAGGTGAACGTTACTTGGGTTCCTCAACATTGCCATCTCCCGAGACACCTCTGCCATGCACACCTGCCAATACCTGAGGCCTCGCTAAGCGAATTTTTACTGACTTATTAATGACTTGTTCAAAAGCACGACGGATGCTAGCAATGGGCTCTCATGAATAAAGGTAGATATGTGGTCTGGCTAAAATATTTAAGACCCTCTCCACTCTTGCATGAACAGGGTTAAGAGAGTCAGGTATGTGGACGGGTTAAGATACTTTGAGACACTCCACCCTTGCACTAACAGGGTTTAGGTCCTGAGAAGGCCTCTGCCCTGCTCTCTCAGGAAGACACTTGGTTCCTTAATTGTTCCTGTAAAAGACCACTGGAGAAGGAAGGTATGAGAATGTCTGGTGCTGACAATAAGGAGGCCAGGATTCTGACTATTGGATCACTTGCCTTGAATGAATTTTTCATGCAAGGTGTTGCCTTAGCACCTAAAACATCAGAGAGCCAGGATTTCATGGAGCCTAGAAAACAGGTTGTATGAACTTTGGGGGGCCTGCAGCAGAATAAGTGATTACTTATGAAATATATGTCAGCAATAAAAAATGACTTAAAAAAAAGACTTATATGCTTGTGTGAATCTGGTCCGAGCTGCATTTGGCAGAGCCCTCAGATTCCATGGAGTTGCCTGAAGGGGCTCTGAGGGAGGAGGGCCGCTGGGTGGATGGGGTGCCTGTCCCACCATCGTGTCCTTAAAAGAATATCTCTGCTTTGGCTCCGTACATTGGCTTCTCTGTGATATTTTGTTTAAAGGATGTGGCTTGAAAAAGTTTGAGAATCAATGACTTCTAGTGTCTCTTCTATTTCTGAAATTCTGAGTGTTTGCTCCCTTTAATAGCAATAACACGGAGGGTCCTTGAAACCCACTTCCAGTTCCTTGAAACCCAACTTCCAGTTCTTTAGCTCCAGTAATTGTGTATCAACTGTGGATGAATTTTTGGTTAAAATGAAGATATTTGAGAATCTGCCCCACCCCAACCTCAGCAGTCATTCTTCTTCCACCCCTCTCTTAGGATCATGCCAAAACAACCACTCTTAAGTGCCATCAGCCAACCCTTTAAACCGCCCAGCCAACATCTGTCCTTAAAAGAGAGATGAACCGGGTGCTTCCTCAAGCATGTCTCTCCCTTTGAAGACAATCACCTGATAAACTGCCCCGGAAACCTCCCAGAGGTGCAGAGGTGCCACTGGAATGTGCGATTGCTAGTATGTTGGGGAGCATTTCTGTGGAAGTGTTTTCTTTTGTTTGCACGAGGACTCAGAAATGTGCGGATGCTTGTGTTTTTATTGTGCTTTGGACGCTGTCAGCTGCCCTTTCCAAAGCTCCCCGACCAGAAGCATCTAGATTTTTCCAAATCGAGACTCTGGGTCAATAGTCTAGTTTTAGGAAACACTCCAACTCTGATATGGTATGTTTTAGATGTAGATCAGTGGTTCTCTAAGTGTGGTCCCCGGACCATGCCACCTGGGAAATTATTAGAAACGTTAGAGCTACTGGATGAGTTTCTGGGGTCGGAGCCCAGGAATCTGTGTTTTAACATGCACTCCGGTGCTGTCAAGACATACAGAAGTTTCAAGCCACAGAAAGCAGGCATCCTGAGCTAACCCTGACTGTCTGAAGTGGTTGCCTGGAGTTCCACGTAGGGAAGAATCTTAAGGCCACCTCTGGGCACAGCAGGGAAGGATGCTGTATTCTATCAGCAATTCTGGTGAGGTTATGGGCAGGGCAGGGAGGGAGAGGGGAAAGGCAGCCATGTGCCCTGAACAAGAATCCCTTCAACTAGACTTCAACTACATAGTCTCCATGGGTCGTTCTGCTCTGACATTTGAGCTCTGAAATGATCTGGAAAGGATAATGTTTACAGCTATTCGCTGTCCTGGTTTGTCCAACCTCTGAGTCCAGGATTATTCTGCTATTTGGTAGTGAGGTTCTCCTGGCTAAAGCAGAAAATCCAATCTGGCAGGATAATGGAGGATCAGAAGAAGATAGCTGTCCCTGCAAAGAACCCCACAACCTCTGCAGGAGGGTCCCCAGCAAGAAACCAAGAATCCCTGGTGTCCCCCACATGGCTACTTCAAGAGTAAGGAGCTTGAGGGTAAATGGAAATTTTTTCCTCTGCTCTCTTGAAGGTTTTCCTGTGGAGAAGTAATCTCAAGACTCTTAGCCAACAGGACAGAGGTACCACTGCATCCAAACAAGCACTGCCCAAAGCAAGCTCCCTCCTAAGTTTGGTGTCTGGGGCCAGGACGTCTGAATGGCAAAATGACGCCAGTCACGGTCATGCCGACACGTTCTGAGAGCCCAGCACGAGCAAAAAGCTTCGTAGTCCAGGTTCTCTCTCAAGATCCTGCATCCTGCAGTAGAGGAGTGTGTGTCGGGGTGTGTGAGTTCACGCAAAGATTTAATTGAAACTGCAAAGTCAAGGAAGAGAGTGACGGCAAAAGAAATAGGTGAATCTTGAAACACTGCAAAGAGGGGGTGTGGGAAACACTCATCGCAGCCATTTAGTTCAATCCTGTCGTTAATCTACTCAAACCCGAGCGAGTGCTCAGCTCACCTTGTTAAGCCGCTCAAGCATGTCTTTTAGCAGCAGCTGACATTCACATTCCTCTTCATACCTGCAAATTGGGCACATAAGTGAAAGGTGAGCAGCTTCTAGGATCCCACCAGTGCTGATCCCACAACCAGCATCAAATTTAACCCGATATGAGTATTGTGTCCTCTGTTTCAGAAGCGGTTCCTAATTTTAAAGCAGAAGCTAACGCTATATTTCCCAGCTCACAGCTTCCCAACCTCTATCACATCACGACACACACAGAAAGTGCTGGCCTGGGCATCACACATGGGCTAACTGGGAGCAGTAAATGGCATAGGACTCTCCCGGCCTGGAGGCCCAGCCACCCCAAGGATGAGGGAGTCACAGCTCAGCACACCGAGAACCCAAGCACAGCAGCGGCACATAGGCTGGGAGTCTGCCCTGCGTGACACCGTTACCCTGACCTTGTTTGCATTTCTTACACTACTGTGTTTATCAACATGTGTCAGTGTTTCTGGATTATGCCATTTAATCCTCACAAAACCCTGACAGAAGGCAGTTATTCTTACCGCTAAAGGGGTTCAGAACAGGCCTCCCCCAAATGTGCCACTCTGGCAGTGAATTATTTTGAGCTAAAGGCAATCAAGACCCTATGGGAGCACAAGAAACTGTTACCTCCCCCTTAAAGAATTTAAATTAGGAGCCTTGCCCATAATAAAAGTTATCACCAGAAAAAACTTTGTATGACCTATCTACGGGGCAGGGCAGTCCTTGTGGCATCATCGCTGCACACCAAAGCCTGCTCTGGGCCAGTGAGCAAGACAGGCTGGGTGAGCCAGGGGGTGCCCCTGGCAGGAAAGTGAGTGAGTGCATCAATACCCCAGTTCTCTTGCCCTCAGCAAGAAAGGGAGGGAGGGAGGGAAGGAAGGAGGGAGAGAGAGAGAGAGAGAGAGAGAGAGAGAGAGAGAGAGAGAAACATGGATTGGTTGCTTTCTGCATGAGCCCCAACCAGGGCCAGTACTCAGGAATCAAACCCGAGACCCTTTGGTGAGCGGGACGACACTCTTAACCACTGACGCACATGGGCCAGGGCTAATTTATATAATTTTATATGGATAAACCTCTTACATGATTAGACAGGGGTTTTTTTTAAATATATTTTTATTAATTGCAGAGAGAGAGGAAGGGAGAGGGAGAGAGAGGGAAACATCAGTGATGAGGGAGAAACATCAATGATGAGAGAGTCACTGATCGGCTGCCTCCTGCACGGCCCAGTCTGGGGATCGAGCCCACAACCCAGGCATGTGCCCTGACCAGGAATCGAACTGCCATCTCCTGGATCCTAGGTCGATGGTCAACCGCTGAGCCACGCTGGCTGAGCTCTAGACAGTATTTTTAAACTACATATAAGGACATTCAGTTAAAGTCTCCCTCCTGCCTCTGTCTCCAACTGCCCAGTTCCTACTCTCTTATCCCCTACATGTAACCAGTGTCATTATTGTGTGTGTGCTTCTGTTCTCTCTTTCCTGGGCAAGCAAAACATTTCCACTCTTCCCCCCTTTCTTTTTAAAATAAATGGTAATAACACACTGTGCTTGTTTTTTTACAATTGCATAGTATCCCATTGTATGAATGAAGCACAGTTTTAAAACCTGTCTCCTATTAATAGGCATTTAGGTTGGTTCCAGGCTTTTGCCACCGCAGATCCCAGGGCAGTGAATACCCTTGCAGGCATGCCACTTGGCACTGCTGGAGCACCATAGATCCTTTGAAATGGCCCTGCTGAGTCAAAGAGCACACGCACTTATAACCTGGAAAGAGGCTGACAGATTGCTGTGTATCGTTTTTCTTTTTAATAGCTCATTTTAACGCATGACATGGACATTATACCTCCATTTTAAAATACATTAAAAGTAAATGATACCATTTCTTGGAAACGGCGAAGTGCCATC